TTCTGCTGCTGCTGCTTCCACTCCTTGTAGTACAGGGACTCAAGGAACTTCACATCCCTCGACACAGTTAGCTGCTGGCTGGTCAAGTCCCATAGCAACCAGCCCTTATGGTCCTTTGCAATCCCCAAATGCACACCCCATCTCCCAGAAGCCTCCAGCTTTCCCCTCTTCTCCTTAGGCACATGAAACACCACCATGCAGCCGAACGCTCTCAGCATGTTGACTGCTGGTGCACTCCCATACCACTTGGCGTAGGGGACCACTGCTTGTCCCCCATAGTCGCCAGCACCCTGTTCTTCACAAGAGCGACCTGCCTCAGTGCAGTCACCCAAAACGGATCCGGCAGCCCTGCACGCCCAAGGAGAGTGCGAGCACCTTCCTGCAGGGTCCGGTTGAACCGCTCAGCCACGCCGTTCTGCTGAGGGTTGTAGGGCACTGTAAGCTGATGCTGGATCCCTTTCTTCTTCAGCACCGCCTCAAAATCAGCGCCAATGAACTCTCCCCCATTGTCGGTGCGGATCACTTTCACCTTGTGTCCGCTCTCCCTTTGAGCTCTCGGCATCCACTCCTTGAGAACAGCCGCTGCCACCTCCCCCTTAGTCTTCAGAGTGTATACCCACACCGCACATGTGTGGTCGTCCACAATGATCAAGAAGTAGAGGATGCCCGAGACAGAAGGGGCCCTTGTCGGGCCCACCACATCCACGTGCACTAGTGCAAGTGGAGCCTTGGCTGGTCCCGTGCTGCTGCTGAAGGGAAACTTCGTGAACTTCGTTTCAAGGCATGTAGGGCAGCTCCCAATCTCCTTTGCTGCCCCCTTCACCTCCAATCCCTTCAAGCTCCCATCCTTAACCAATTTCTGCAGCATAGGGATGTTGATGTGACACAGCCTCTCGTGCCACGTCTCCCAATCGGCCTCACCACTCCCAGATGAAGCCTTTGCCCATGCAGCTATCGCGTCCACACCAGCAAGCACCTCACCATGTGGCTGCTGTGGCTGTTGCTCTTTCTTGACTGCATCCAGGGCCCCATCAGTTGGTGCAGTCTCCTCTCCTCCCGCAGTTGCTTTAGCCGTTGCTGCTGCCGCTGCCGTTGCTGGAGGTTTCCCCTTCCAAAGGATGATGGGCAGCTGCCACAGGTCCTTGATGCAGCTGCTCTTCTCCTCCAAGTTCCGCGGTAGCATCTTCCCAAGTTTTGCACGGCAGCTGGTTGGGCAAAGGTCACTTTGGCCTTGCTCTTCTGCAGCCGGCGCACAGAAAGAAGGTTAGCGGACAAACCTTCAACCAACAGGACATTCCCAAGCCCCACAAGCTCCCCATTAGCTCCCATCACCTTGGCATTCCCAACACCAATCACAGGGAGCAAAGCACCTGAAGCGGCAGCCACAAACTTGATCTTCCCAGGGGGCTTTACTTCATCAAGCAAATCCTCCCGTGGGGTCATGTGACTTGTGCAACCTGAATCGATCACCCAGTGAGTGAGGGGGTGCATCACAACCTTCCCAACCGAACCCACATCACTCTTACTCCCTTTCACATCTTCAACCATGAGGAACATTCCAGGGGAGGCTTTACCTTGTGCGGCATCACCTTGTGCACCTGAACCTTGCACAGCGCCACCTCGTGCGCGTTCACCAATGGCGGCTTCATGCCTGGAGGCGCCCATCCCCCAGGTCGGCTGAAACACTTGAACCACGGGTGTCCAGCCTTCTTGCAGTACCAGCAAGCTCCCTCCATTCGGATGCTTCCCCTGCCACCAGAGCTCCGATGCCCCTCATTGTAGTCAACTTTGCCTCTCCCTCTGCCAAAGCCTCTCCCACGGCCTCGGCCTCTCCCACACCCTCTTCCTGTGCTGCCTCCTGCAGCTGCATACCCCTCAGCGGACTTGTTGGCAGCACCACCACCCGTGTGGCGCCTCCGGAAGTCCTCGTGCAGAATCTGCTGACGTAACCACTCAGACGTCCACTGGTCCTGCTGAGTGTTGAGGGTGGGGATGAGGTTGTCCCATCTATTGTCAAGCACCGAGATGATCTTGGTGCACTGCTGCATCTGCGACACCTTGCTGCCCGCCACCGCATTCTCGCATAAGTGTCCTTGATCTTGTCAAGGACCGGCTTCACATCGTCTCCCGGTCGCATGGAGAGGGCCGCCAGCTCCTTCTCCAGTACAATCACCATCGGCATCGTGTTGGGCTGAATAATGTTGCGTAGTAGCTTCCATACCTTCGGCTAGGAGTCATCCAACTCCACCAAATCTTTGATGTGCTGAAACATATCATTGTTGGCAGATTGAAGATGAGGTTGTACAGCACCTCACTCTTCTCAATCCACCGATCGCGGACGTCTCCTTCCTCCGGCATCTTCTCTTCTCTCATGGCAAGTTTCAGCAGCTTGTAGCGCTTGAAGGCGCTCCTCATCCGCCCGCTCCATTCCTCATAATTGGAGCCATCCAAAGCTTCGATCTTGGATGGTGGCGGTTCACTCCTCTTCTCAGCTGCATCTCCACTCCCTTGACTCATCTTCTCTTCACCCAATCTCAGGTTTCAGCTCCCCCTTTGCTGTCTACAATGAAGTCCCACACAATTTTCACAAGTGTCGGCGCCAACAAAATTTCGGCAGAGTTTCCCCTTAGCGGAAGTCACATCCAACCTCCAGAACTCCACTTAGGCACGCCCATAGGCCGTGGTGGGTCTAGGAGGGTCTTCACACCTCAGTACACACTTCACAAGGTCCTAAATCCGCTCTGATACCACTTTTTAGAGATCAAGGACGGAGTCTAAGAAGCTTAGAGGAGTAGCTCGAAATGAGGTAGAAAGGGATGAGGATGACGAGAGGGAAGGTCCCTAGGGAGTCCAAACCAAGAAAACCTCATATTCTCACAAGATTTCCTCCCTGTAGGAACCCAACTATCACCCTTGTCTTTTCCCAACCTCTCAAATCCACCTCACTCCAACTTGGCCACACTTGCCAACCTGGTTTGGCTTCTCCCAACCACTTGGCATCATCTACAGTAGAAGTGACGAATTTCCCAACCCCCAAAAGTCTGTACCCCATATTGAGTCACTCTGCAAATTCCCTTAGTCGCCGCATCGAAATATCAAAAGCATACGAACTTCAACCGTTCGTAACTTTCTCATCCGTGCTCGGATCGCGACGAATCTTGGTTTGTCGGAAAGCTCTCGAAAAGAAAAGTCATTTCAGTTATCTCCTTAATTAAAACAAGATTCACACACACTCACAAATTCCAAACCACACCAAACACAAATTCTTGCACACGCTCACACCACGCATGCAACGTACGAACATATTATGGGAGGCAAATGATAGCATCACATAACATTAAGTACATCCAAGATGGGCAAGCAATGGATGGGGAATGGAATCGGGGCCTATCTTTAGGGATTGGGGGTAATCCCAAGGCAATCTCCAATTGGTGGGTTGGAGATTGCTTGGAGATTACATTTGGGTTTGGTTAAGATGTATGTGTACACCCAACCAAACACAATGAGCAAACTACACTACGTTAAGATATAAAAAGTACAAAATACTAAGTGTGAGATTGAGGGCGAACACTAACACACACAACCAGACATAGAGCAAGCATTATTGTCCAGAAGACGAGAGCATGGTTGCACGCACGAAGTAGCACGTGCACTCCTCAGCCTATCATCCCATGACGCCACGTGCACCCCTCAGCCATTCATCCCATGGCGCCACGTGCAGCTCCCTTGAGCGTTTGAACAAGCTCCCTTGAGCGCTCGGACGAGCTCGTTTGAGGGCTCGGACGAGTTTTCTGGAGCGCTCGGACGAGCACGCTCGAGCGCGCTCGACTGCGCTTGGACAAGCTCGCTCGGACGAGCTCACTCGAGCGCGCTGGGACGAGCTCGCTCGAGCGCGCAAGGACGAGCTCGCTCGAGCGCGCTGGGACGAGCCCGCTCGAGCGTCCTGGGACGAGCTCGCTCGAGAGCGCTCGGACGAGCTCGCTCGAGCGCGCTGGGACAAGCTCGCTCGAGCGCGCTGGGACGAGCTCGCTCGAGCGCGCTGGGACGAGCTCGCTCGAGCGCGCTGGGACGAGCTCGCTCGAGCGCGCTGGGACGAGCTCGCTCGAGCGCGCTTGGACGAGCTCGCTCGAGAGCGCTCGGACGAGCTCGCTCGAGAACGCTCGGACGAGCTCGCTCGAGCGCGCTGGGACGAGCTCGCTCGAGCGCGCTGGGACGAGCTCGCTCGAGCGCGCTGGGACGAGCTCGCTCGAGCGCGCTGGAATGATCTTGCTCGAGCGCGCTAGGACAAGCTCGCTCGAGCACGCTCGGGCGAGCTCGCTCGAGTACGCTTTGACGAGCTCGCTCGAGCGCGCTGGAACGAGCTCGCTCGAGCGCGCTGGGACGAGCTCGCTCGAGCGCGCTAGGATGAGCTCGCTCGAGCGCTCTGGGACGAGCTCGCTCGAGCGCGCTCGAACGAGCTCGCTCGAGAGCGCTGGGACGAGCTCGCTCGAGCGCGCTAGGATGAGCTCGCTCGAGCGCGCTAGGACGAGCTCGCTCGAGCGCGCTCGGACGAGCTTGCTTGAGCACGCTCGGGCGAGCTTGCTCGAGCGCGCTGGGGCGAGCTCGCTCGAGCGCGCTTTGACGAGCTTGCTCGAGCGCGCTGGGACGAGCTCGCTCGAGCGCGCTGGGACGAGCTCGCTCGAGCGCTGGGACGAGCTCGCTCGAGTGCTCTGGGACGAGCTCGCTCGAGCGCTTGGACGAGATCGCTCGAGCGCGCTCGGACGAGCTCGCTCGAGAGCGCTGGGACGAGCTCGCTCGAACGCGCTGGGACAAGCTCGCTCGAGCGCGCTGGGACTAGCTCGCTCGAGCGCGCTGGGACGAGCTCGCTCGAGCGCGCTGGGACGAGCTCGCTCGAGCTCGCTCGGGTGAGCTCGCTCGAGTATGCTTTGACGAGCTCGCTCGAGCGCGCTGGAACGAGCTCGCTCGAGCGCGCTGGGACGAGCTCGCTCGAGCGCGCTGGGATGAGCTCGCTCGAGCGCTCTGGGACGAGCTCGCTCGAGCGCGCTCGGACGAGCTCGCTCGAGAGCGCTCGGACGCGCTCGCTCGAGAGCGCTCGGACGAGCTCGCTCGAGAGCGCTCGGAGGAGCTCGCTCGAGCGCGCTGGGACGAGCTCGCTCGAGCGCGCTGGGACGAGCTCGCTCGAGCGCGCTGGGACGAGCTCGCTCGAGCGCTGGGACGAGCTCGCTCGAGTGCTCTGGGACGAGCTCGCTCAAGCGCTTGGACGAGATCGCTCGAGCGCGCTCGGACGAGCTCGCTCGAGAGCGCTCGAACGCGTTGGGACTAGCTCGCTCGAGCGCGCTGGGACGAGCTCGCTCGAGCGCGCTGGGACGAGCTCGCTCGAGCGCGCTGGGACGAGCTCGCTCGAGCGCGCTGGGACGAGCTCGATCGAGCTCGCTCGGGTGAGCTCGCTCGAGTACGCTTTGACGAGCTCGCTCGAGCGCGCTGGAACGAGCTCGCTCGAGCGCGCTGGGACGAGCTCACTCGAGCGCGCTGGGATGAGCTCGCTCGAGCGCTCTGGGACGAGCTCGCTCGAGCGCGCTCGGACGAGCTCGCTCGAGAGCGCTCGGACGCGCTCGCTCGAGAGCGCTCGGACGAGCTCGCTCGAGAGCGCTCGGAGGAGCTCGCTCGAGCGCGCTGGGACGAGCTCGCTCGAGTGCTCTAGGATGAGCTCGCTCGAGCGCGCTCGGACGAGCTCGCTTGAGCACGCTCGGGCGAGCTTGCTCGAGCGCGCTGGGGCGAGCTCGCTCGAGCGCGCTTTGACGAGCTTGCTCGAGCGCGCTGAGACGAGCTCGCTCGAGCGCGTTGGGACAAGCTCGCTCGAGCGCGCTGGGACGATCTCGCTCGAGTGCTCTGGGACGAGCTCGCTCGAGCGCTTGGACGAGCTCGCTCGAGCGCGCTCGGACGAGCTCGCTCGAGAGCGCTCGGACGAGCTCTCTCGAACGCGCTGGGACAAGCTCGCTCGAGCGCGCTGGGACTAGCTCGCTCGAACGCGCTCGGACGAGCTCGCTCGAGCGCGCTGGGACAAGCTCGCTCGAGAGCGCTTGGGCGAGCTCGCTCGAGAGCGCTCGGACGAGCTCGCTCGAGCGCGCTGGGACGAGCTCGCTCGAGCGCGCTGGGACGAGCTCGCTCGAGCGCGCTGGGACGAGCTCGCTCGAGTGCTCTGGGACGAGCTCGCTCGAGCGCGCTCGGACGAGCTCGCTCGAGAGCGCTCGGACGAGCTCGCTCGAGAGCGTTCGGACTAGCTCGCTCGAGCGCGCTAGGATGAGCTCGCTCGAGCGCGCTCGGACGAGCTCGCTTGAGCGCGCTGGGGCGAGCTCGCTCGAGCGCGCTTTGACGAGCTCGCTAGAGCGCGCTGGGACGAGCTCGCTCGAGCGCGCTGGGACGAGCTCGCTCGAGCGCGCTGGGACGAGCTCGCTCGAGTGCTCTAGGACGAGCTCGCTCGAGCGCTGGGACGAGCTCGCTCGAGCGCGCTCGGACGAGCTCGCTCGAACGCGCTGGGACGAGCTCGCTCGAGCGCGCTGGGACTAGCTCGCTCGAGCGTGCTGGGACGAGCTTGCTCGAGCGCGCTGGAACGAGCTCGCTCGAGCGCGCTGGGACGAGCTCGCTCGAGTGCGCTGGGACAAGCTCGCTCGAGCGCGTTGGGATGAGCTCGCTTGAGCACTTGGATAATCTCACTTGAGTATTTGTAGGAGCTCCCCATTTTTTGGCAGCACGTTGGAGAAGGCAGCAATGCGCGCCTCAATTCTCTCCATTGCGTCTCCCATGACAAAGTGGAGGGGCACGACTGCCACGACAAAGTGGAGGGGCACGACTGCCACGACAAAGTGGAGGGGCAAGATTGCCACAACAAAATGGAGGGGCACGACTGCCACGACAAAGCGGTCCGGTCCTTCCCAGCGGGCCATGGATGGCTCGTGCACGGCCCTCCCCTGAAAGCGTCTCGTCATAAACAGTGTGAGGCGAATTCCAGATCATACAACGTGCCGTGCACCGCAGCACTATTCAATGCAGCACTGTGCACCACGGCACTGTGCGGAGACGGAGCGGCGAACCTTAACGGGCGGGTGGGCGGAGTCGGAATGAGAGAGGAACATGCTGCTGCTTGTCCGCACCTCACTGCGGTAGCTCCAATGGGCGGCATGCGCACGCACCATGCAGACAGCACACATATCCCTCCAAGCACACATGCAGACAGATGCACTAGCACACATACACGTGCACACACACACACACACATACACACACACACACACACACACACCCTTTTGGCGAGCTTCGAAATCACTTGAAGCTTGAAACCAAGGCTCTGGTTCTTCACCATAAACTCATCCTTGAGTTCTTGATGGGTCTGCTGCACACATCTGCGACACGCCGAACGTTCGACACACGACAAAATAGAAACCGCGCACGGGACAGAAACGACAACGTGATACGCGACTAGCGATAACTCGCTATTGACTCGACACACACATTCAACATTATGACTCATCATTCGTATAATATTATAAGCATGAAATATATATTATCTCATGCCCTCATACCATTCCATTCACACACGCGTGCACGTAAACAGACAACAAGCGGAGTGCAAACAGTAGGGTTGCACCAACCCAGCAGACGCATGGGACATCCCAGTCGTGTTTGTGTCATCATCCTGCCCTCCTCTGCCCTCCTCCAATGATGCTGTGCTTCTGCCGACCCTCCTTTCCCCTTTCCCCTTTTGCATCAAGGAGCAGCGGACACGTGGGACATCCTGGTGGCGTTCATCAGCGCCATCATCCTGCCCACCGTGGGGAATGCTGTTGTGATCTTGACCCACCCTCTTGGCTTTCCCCTCTTCCCGCCTCCCCTCTGTTCCCCACCCCTCCGCACACTCTGCTCCACTCCCTCGTACTCCTCCGCACTCCCCTCTCTTTTTTTCAAGGAGCGGCGGACGCGTAGGACATCCTAGTGATGTTCATCAGCGTCATCTTCCTGCCCATCATGGGGAATGTTGACATGCCATCAGCACTGCTCCCGCCTTCTCCCTCCCCTCCCTTTCCTCTCCCCTCCCTCGTCCTCCTCACCTCCCTTCGCACTCCCTCCCTCCTCCCTCCGTCGATCCTCGCTTCTCCTCGCCATCCTCAACAGGGAGCAGCAGACGCGTGGGACATCCCAGTGGCGTTCATCAGCGTCATCATTCTGCCCATTGTGGGGAATGCTTGGCACGCTGTGGTTGCCATTGGCTCCTCCCCTCGGGGTTGCCATGGGCTCCTCCGCTCAAATTGCCATGTTCGCTGTGAGTCATTCTCTTGTCGCCTTAAAACATTAACTGTTCTCTGTTACTTGTGAGTTCCTCTTAGTCATCTCACAAGTTGTCATGTTTGTTGATGCGATCTCTTTCATCTGCCCGTCTCCTCTCCATGCCGTTTTTTTTGTCTCCATGCAGGAGGGAGAGAGAAATTATTGCAAGGGCATCATGTTGGTGTTGAGCTATCTAGTCGTTGCCACCAGCTTCTATGTGCACAACGATATTTGTAAGGTTTATGTATTCTCTCTCTTCTATTTTGTATTGCAACCAAATTTCTCATAGCATGCTTTAATCATGAAGTTACCCCTGGCTCTCTCTTCTACCCAGTTTCTCTCCCGCCGTCCCTCACCCTATCAGAGGACCCACCCACATGACCCAATCCCCACAGCACCAGCATCTGAGCGCTGCAATTTATATCCCCTGCATTTTTTCCTGCTTCTCTTACCTACCCATGCTTCACCCTATCAGAGGACCCAAATGACCCAATCCCCATGGCGCCAGCATCCGCTCCCTCACCCATGTCATTTGGAGGCTGATCCTCCCATCCAAGTCTATGTAACTGTGTTACCACATTTCCATCTCGACTCCTTATGCATATACAATGGGCTTCATGCCATGCCAACTATGGTACCGTATGGTATGCCACAGAACTAGAGACCTGAAGTGGCCTCCAATGGTCTGAGTGGCCTCTACGGCTAGCTGAGTTGGATAGGAAGAAATGGTTACACAAAAGTTTCTTACTATTTGTGAGGAAATAAATTATGTTGTCACCTAGCTGCCGCAATCTCAATATCAATGTTGTGGATCATTCAGCATGATCACTTCTAGATCATGAAGACTGGTGAATCAACCACGGTATTGTTATTCAGATAACCGTAATACAATAACAAACTGACACACCATGTATGCCCTCCAAACCAAATGCATCATAAGGTACCACTTGATAATTGCATGTCAGTCGAGAAATTAAGTCTACGATCTACATGCTCACAAGGGACTGCTGCACAGCTTGGCTAGCTTCACAGTGGTTAGCGGTAACTTGGTCAGAGTTAGACCGGGAAGTGTCACACCAGAGGAGGAAGGCAGGATGCAGGTTTGGCCAATCAGAGGTTGACCATGTGTACTCATGCAGCCATGTCACGTAGACCATCTCCTAGCTTCAGGGGGAAGACAAGCGGTCATTGCGCACATGTCCTCCTCTGTCCTCTGTTAAAACATGGACCAGATAAAAAAGACCAAGACAAATATGATCAAATCAGCTGTAGTTACAAGAATTGCAATGCAAGTTAGGGCATGGAAAGGAGGTGCATACAGGTGCGAGGAAGTGTCGGTGGGATCCAGGGAAGTGCAAGGAGGAAGCAGAACAAGAATCCAGGGACCAACGGATGGTGATAATGGTTCCAGTCATCAATATCTTATCAGACAATTCATGGGAAAGCAGAATTACTTGTCGATTACTATCAGTGGAGAGCGGACATCAGATGTGTTTAGACATAAACATATGCACGGTGACTTCTGAAACACATGCACCATGCATCAGATGTGTCTAGACATAAACATATGCACCGTGCATATGTTTATGCAGGTAAGTTTGCTTTCAGGTCGGTTTGGTGTAGAGAGCAGACCGACAGATATGTTTGGGCACTGACACAGCAACGACATCCAGTGCAGCAGCAGGTGCGCTTGTGACTTCACATCACATGACACCATGTGGGATGAGACCAAATCCAGGACAATACACGTCAACTTCAGAAGGCTCAGGTGCACACGTGGCAAAGATCGCACTGCCAGCTCAGACAGCACCCAAGCCTCTGCCCAAACCTCCACCACTTATTCGATTCCCTTCCAACCCTGAAGCTTCAGCACCAACGACGTCAGCTCCTAAGACAGCTTCTCCGCTTGAGGATTCTCCCCGCCATTTCCGCCAGCCATCCGCTGAATCTCCCCATTTCTGCCAGCCATCTGCCGATTCTCCCCATTTCCCCTACTTCCGTTGATTCCGCCTCCTCCGCCGCTTGCGATAACAGCCACTGCAGCAGCAGTAGCCACGCTGCGAGAAACCTGATCCAGAATCTGGGTCAGACCAAATGCCGGCGCCTAGACGTGTTTTAAGGAGCTCTCGAGACGGGAAATGGTCCGAGAGAATGCCTAAAGAAGTGCTCGGTGATTGGCTTCGGTGAGATTAAGATCCTTGGAGCTGTGATTGGCTCGCAGCACCTCCTCCGCGACGCTCCAAATGAAATCGTACTTGGGTGAGCTAGAAAAAAGGTCCATCATCAAGCAGAGCGTCTGACACAAAGCGCGTTCCACGGAAGAAGACGAAGGAGAGGGGTCAGGATTAACAGCAAATCCGGTTACATGGAGAGGACGGATGGTAGCAGAGATGTTCACCGTTAGAAATTTGTCCTAGGATCGCGTGCGCCGGTTGCAAAGGCTTTCGCCAGCTGGCGATGACGTGGAAAGGTTCCGGATGATCGTCGTCGCGTCACTCGACCATTTCTTATTCAAAGGCTTTCCTAGAAGAATGACGATGCTGTCAACATGAAGGCCAACCAACGGAAACCGTCGGAGGTAGGTGAGCGGCCATGAGGAGGCTAGAGGGAGAAGGAAAGTAGTCATGGTGGATGGAAAGGAAGACAGCCGGGAGGAAGACTGGCGAACGACAGCAGCTGCATAGAGGACAAAAAG